GGAGGGAGGGAGGGAGGGAGGGAGGGAGAGAGAGAGAGAGAGAGAGAGAGAGAGAGAGAGAGAGAGAGATTTTTTTTTTTTTAAAAGAACATTCTTATTTATCTGCAGAAAGTTTTAGTAGTACAAGTAGTGCATTAGTAGCATTAGCAGCAACAGTAGTTGCAGTAGTCATAAGAAGTACTTTCCTTCATCACAGACGATAATGTTTTGCTATAGTGGTCAATATATTTCATGTCCTGTGATGATTGAATATAATGTGGGCAAATAGGCCAAAGCAGGTAAGAAAATGCAGGCAGCAGCCAGTGCCAAGAAAATGATGGACCAATCTGACCTCTCCCAACCCCGGCATACGCCCAAACACAATCCTAAGTTTTGGTCAGGTGTTGGTGTGAAAGGCCTCTGACTGGTGTCTCTGATAGGTCATTTTTTTTTTTGGTAAGTGTTTTACGGCCCTCGCAACTGCATAATGTCATATGAGCGCATGGGACACATTAAACATTTTCAGTATGGTTGAATTAACTTTGATTTTTGCCACGGGTGGTGGCTGAAGCCTACTCTTATGGATTTTGGACCAGCAAGGGATCTTTAACGTGCGCAACTGATAGGTCAGTTGCTTGGTATGCAGTAAGCCTGCAATGACCCACTGTACAGGGCAATCAACGGTCCCTTGGAATACAGTGGATAAGATATGTTATGGAATAAAACAGGAACGGCCACATCAGCAGGGGCTGTTTGCTCTGCAAGTGACTTTGGTGGATTAAGAGTTAAATTATGTTTGGTGAAAATGAAGTGTCTCAATAATTTAACGAATAAAGGTAAAAGAAAGGGGAATCTTCATTCTCTCTGCGAGCGCAAGTTTTCTTTGAATCCAAATTTGGTGAATTTGAATTTCGGTGCACCTCACCACTGAAAGAGTTTAGGTACTTACAGGCTGGGTTTGCCTGGACTCTGCCTCTCAGCGCGTCTTGTGCTGGTTTGGAAACAGCATTTGAGAAGACAAGCTGAGATACTAAACTAATAACTTCCCCACACGGATATCAAACTCACACTGACTGTGTGCTGCAACACTGAAGAGCCTAAGGCCCTGCATGCACTAGGATATTTTATTTGTGAGATATTTTGTTGCTTTTGGAGAAATAGAAGGTTGTTTGCATCCTCATACACTGGCTGTAACTTTGCAGCGAGAACAAGGGGAGTTATTCCTCGAACATGCAAGGCCTTACTGTTGCACCATAGATGCTAGTTCACGGTACCTGACAGAGCAGCAAACATCAAAGTTGAGTAGGAGTTCTCATGGAAGTGTGAATTCACATCAGCCCCATTTGCCAGGAAGAACTCACAAAGGTCTTTGTTCCCCCGAAAAGCAGCCAGCTGTAAAGGTGTCATTCCTTTCTGCGAAGAAAAGCACAATATCGTGAGAATATCATGAGCAATTCTCTCAGACATTTGTACAACAACGTTTACTTTTATGTTCAAATATTACACCAAGTCTTCCGGTAAGATTTAGCTGTTTAAACCAAAGAAGGTGTCTTTGATTTTCTTAACATCTGATAATACTGATTTGGTTTTTCAAGGGAAAAAGTTAATAGAAAAATAGGAAACCAGAAGGCATAACATACTATAGTACTCGATAGTTCAAATGAAAGATTTTTTTCCATCACATAAAAAATCTAAAAAGATTATGACTCTAGGAATGGACATCGGATTTTTTATAAGCTCAAGCCTAAAAAGACAGGAAGGAACAAATCCAAATAATCTCTGAGAATATTTAGGGAAGGAAATTACACCCACAAAAATTAGAGAAATCTTTAAAAAAAACAACAATTGTGCTGAGATCACACAAAAGACATTATGGATAACAAAATGAATTATTTGGATATCGCAAATTAATCTAAAAGAGTTTTTAAAACAAACTCCAATTTAAAAAACACCAACAAAGAACATGTAAGTACTAAGTTACTGTTGAGAAGCTGTACCATTCAAGGCAAAGCCTCCCTGTTTAAAAAGGGGGATTAATATTAAACAGTAGTCTTTGCCTAAGATCCCACCACTTATGGTCCCGGTTCGCATAATATCCCGCAGTTTTGGAAAAACAGAATCTTTACTATATAATTATATAAAAGTACCCCCTAAGATCCCGCACTGAAGGAGCTACATTCGGCTAAGATCCTGCTTTTCAGGTCATAATTTAGTTGTTTTTTCTTCTTTATTTAAGAAAAAAAAAAAAAGAATAAGAAACCTGGACACGAACAGCTGATCAACCAAGTACCGAAAATGAGCGATCATTGTACGTACGGCCCATTGCGTCAAAGATAATTCACTCTCATGAATGCGATCACACCTCTGTTGTAAATCTCGATAAGCGGTTACCATGTTTACCCAGACCAGATTGCACCAAGGTGTCGACTCATCGACGCCTTGCTTTCCCCAATCACCTGAGCTGTCCGCTTGATATTACATCACACACTAGGTGTGGAGGGCCTACAAGTACAAGCAAGCGTAAGACTCCATTCTATCGCACTGTGAACTCGTGGACGCTTCAGTTTTCTCGAACATTGCTCTTGTCTTTCAGTTTTGCCCTCTAACTTCCTAGACACACTGACGCCCATACTCGTGGACTGTCCGATCGCCTCTGCATAATGAATGGGGTCATCTGTTGGCAGTGAACTTAATTTTTTCAAAAATAGGTTGGAGTGGTCACAACACAACGATATATGATGCATCATGACATGGCCGCAGCGAACTCTGTTAGAAATGGAAAAAAAGCAAAACAATTTTGGTTGGGGGCATTGCTTGAAGCCAACTGGTTCCCACCTGACACAGTATTTTTTTGTAAAGCCCCAACCCCCGCCCCTAAACAAAACAAAAAACAAAACAAAACCCCCCCCCCCAAAAAACCTGACTTCTGAAAAGAAGACTTAGTGCCCAGGAGTCACGTCAGTTCATTTTAAAGTAAGAGAGGATCATTGTACAGACTATGGGCTTGACCAGCTTTTCACTTACAGGATCCAGACAGTCAATCTTGACTTTTGACGCTTTCACGTGGGCGATGACAGCTTCATTAGTGCCTGAAAAAAACAACAACGTTGTAAGACGAATATCGTCAGTCGCCTGATAAAACCGTGAATTCCACAAATTTTTGAAAATCGTTTTTTTGCATATTTTGATAGTGCTCGGTGAGATACATGTCCCTGTAAAATTATTTTTCAATTATCTCAATGCAAACGTGTAATCTGACGCAATAGGACAATCATGAATAAACACCGTGCCCCTAAAGTCGCCTGATGAAACCGTGAATCCCACACCTGTGTGGAATTCATGATCTCATCAGTCGGTTTATGACTCGCAGGGCTGACCGTTGGCACCGTGAACGCCTCTCTAGACCATTGAAATATGGGTGACTGCGTTGTGCAAACACAACGATCGGTCAGTATTCACGGTTTCCTGGCCAGAGATGATAATTTATGACGTCGACTGCATGTGTTTTGCGGAAAAACCTCTGTCACATGAATAAAATGTGTGTTTCCCAGATGCAAGACTGGTATTGTTTCACGACTGTCAATTCCAATGTGTAATGTGTGTGCTCTTCTAGTAGTGGGTAAAACAATTTTTTATCTTGCTCGTTTGCAAAAATTTTTTCCCTCTCCTGTAAAATTTGCTTTGTGTGGAATTCACGATTTCATCAGGCAACCGACGATATATGAATCAAATTCAATTCCCATAAATTGTACTGACGAACACATTAGGCCCCATTTGTTTAATTTTTATTCCAAGTTGTCTTTTAACTGATTCCGTCCATTCGGCCGCTGACAGCGGCTCTGAACTTTTCCGCTGCATCTATTCGACCGCTGCGAGCAGCTCAGCAAAATCCGAAGCAAATGAGCACTATTACTATTTAACTTAGTTCCTACTTTTTAAGTTGTCGAAAGGAAGTAGAACTTGTAAACAAACCTAACCTCAATCTCTGAGCTCCAATATCGATCGAAACTCCGCAAAATTCTTGCAAAAATCGTTGTTTTGTTGTCGCAATGTAGGCTAGATCTAAGGGTAAATAACGCGGAGCCTGGTGTAATAAAAAAGCCCTTCAAAGAAAGATATTCAACTAAATTTGGGAAATTCTTGCATAAATGTGTGCTAGGGTGATATCGCTAAAAGTTTGTGTTGATTCCTATGGATTATAAGGACTCGTAGAGCTGAGAAAATGCGGTAAGTTGAAATTTTCGAAGAGGTGTTGCGCAATTTTTTTTCCTCATTCGTTTTTGTCTGACGGAAAATACAATACAAACAGATTATAGGTTTTTGTTACTGATATATAGATTCCTCTATTGATTCCCATCACTTTGGTATATATGACAATACCTATTAGAGTAACTTAGAGCTTCACAGTAAGGCATTAAAAATAGATGCACCCCAGGTCTAAAACTGAACAAGGAAAAATAATTCTGTCCAGAGCCTGAAAAAATCATTGACAGAATCAGTTTAAAAAACCCTAAAACAATACACTTTCATTCTCTTTCAGTAATGTACAGTTCAACAAAAAATGTGTAGATCTACATAAAATTTTCATAAAAAATTATGTTCCTTGCGTTTCAATCGTGCCTCTGTGCCAATGGTGGATGATTCAGGGTGCCGTGAACGCTGCCTGCAAATTACGTTCACGGTGCCGTGAACCTGGTCACTGCGTACTCTTTAAATTATACCACAACTGAAGTACGAAATACACAACAATTACACACACTGAGTCAAATAGTGTTGTCGGCATTTTTGCATTGTCAGTCAAATGTCAATTAGGGTCTACAATAAACATACTGAACTGTCATAAAATCTTGTGCTATAGTTTTATATATGGCCACCTCTATTCTCACCCCGGGTGAGAATAGTGCAGGCGAGTCTTTTGGCTATTCTCACCCGGTGCACGTTCACCGTTATAGCCTAGATCTAGGCCAACCAATTTTGCGTTCACCCTAAACCACAGAATTCTACACTGTGATAACAGAAAAATTGTAGAATTCTGTGCCGTGAACAAACGTTCCATTACTACTGTTAGTCTACTAAAAGCGTACAATTTTGTCTGTGGGCAGTGGAGAGAGAGAGAGAGAGAGAGAGAGAGAGAGAGAGAGAGAGAGAGAGAGAGAGAGAGGGAGAGAAAGAGAGAGAGAGAGGAGTAGCGTGAGAACTTCCGGGCAAAACAAAATGGCGACCTGCGTAGTTCGGCTCGATTCGAAAAGTTAAATAGCCATAGCATCTTTGTAGTCGGTAAAATTAGCTTTACTTTTGTGCTATACTATAACGTAATCTTTTCTTTGCCTTTATCCATTTGATCATCCACATAGATCTAGATAGAAAGTATTCCGAAATTAGGAAAAACAGGTCTTGTTTCACATCGGGTGAGAATAGCCTACGGTGGCAAGTCTCACCCGGGGTGAGAGGTCGATCGTATTTCTATTCTCACCCCGGGTGAGAATAGCCACTTCCTTTATTATATATAGACTATATAGATCTAGATCTAGATCTAGATATATATAACTAGATTTAGATCTAGAATCTAGCCAGTCCAAAGCTAGTAAAGGCTAGCTGTGTTTATTTTAAACTTTAAAAAACAAAAACAAAAAAACTGTACATGGAGTAGATCTAGGGCCATCTAAGACTCTCAAGAGATCTTGAATTCCGGAATCTATCTTGGCCTCATTCTAATTCTAGCAGAGAGACAACAAATGGTGTAGAATCCAGATTCAGTTAATTAGCCAAGACAGTAATATAAAAACCTTGTATCTAAATTTAGATCTTAGAATAGATCTAGATCTAGATCTAGATTCTAGATCGATCTAGAATCTAGAGATATCTATAGGAAATGGTTGAAGAAGTAAAGTAGTAAAGTGAAAAAAGCCATCGAGTGTCGAGAATGGCGAAAAAATAATTTCCCAGCCTAGATTTAAGTTTAAACACACGTTTTGCTCTGAATCACCACTACTAAGGTGACACATTTCAGCCAGTAAATAAATTCAACCTTTAAAATGGATTCCTATTCCGTAGGTAATTGAATACCTTTTTCAATCAGATCGAAAAGCTGTTTTTCATCAGGTGTTCGCTTGTCTTCTTCGGTGGTCGCCATCTTGAGCAATGTGGATAATTCAATTTTAAACTGTCCTAACTCGATGCAACATCTACACAAAACATTAGGAATATTCGAGAAAATGCTGGTAACCATGGAGACAGCCCTAAACACGAAAGAAGGCGAAGGAGACAAAACTGTAAAATCCTCGAAGGCTACGAGCAACCATGTTAATGCTGCGCGTACACAGTCCTCAACGATTATTGATCTCATGTTTGCTCATTTGGTCTCTCTTCTCCCCTTCCCTCTTCCCTCTCGTTTGCTCTCTTTGCGTTAAATAAATGTGTTTAGGCCTGACTTTTACATGTACTGCTCATTCACATGTACATGGCTTGGAACTTGGAATGACATAAATGAGCTAACCTACTATTACGACTTAATGGGAACCTTGTTTTCTTGCTTGTCTATTCGTCTGTCCGGGAGACCAAGAATGAGAAACAAAGTATGTGTGTGTGTGTGTGTGTGTGTGTGTGTGTGTGTGTGTGA